CAGAGCCAAAATCCTCTTCTCAGATAGGGCTTGAGCCTTTGGAGAACTGAGTAGTTGAGGGTGTCTGGCAATGTTCCCTCTAATTGTTTAGATCCACGTGTGGAATAAATGTTGTTATGTGCACCAAGGCATGTGAAGATGCACACCGCCAGTAGGAACGCATCCTGCCGGCTGCTACCAACTGTGGGCGCTCTGCTAATCAGCTGGGCAGCATTCAAAATTCTCCTGGGTGGCTGTCCAAGCTCATAGTTTACAGGGAACAATGTGCCTGGTAACTTGTGGGTTCAAGCTATACATGCAAGATGGATCAGTTCATGGAGGTTAAGTCCATTAATGGCTATTAGCCAGTAAGGGTAAGGAATGGTGTCCCCTAGCCTCTGTTTGTCAGAGGGTGGAGATGGATGGCAGGAGAGAGATCGCTTGATCATTACCTGTTCGGTTCACTCCCTGTGGGGCACTTGGCATTGGCCACTGTCGGCAAACAGGATACTGGGCTGGATGGACCTTTGGTCTGACCCAGTATGGCCGTTCTTATGTTCTGGCCCATTGCACCTGCTTGTGTCCTGGGACAGCCCTCCAGGAATTTACCTCAGTTTCCCTCTAAATATGGAGAATAATCCAGTTATAAGTAGAGTATTTAAGAACAATATTCCCCCTTTCTTAGGGCTAATTAAATCAAATTAACCTGCTAACCTCATTAAATTCTAGGTTTCCCAGCCTTCCTTCTTGGGGCTGGGTGATTTCAATCCTGGTCTGCCTAGCCTGTATACTGAGCCCTCAGATCCAGGAGTTTCACAAGCCGTCCCCATTGAGGCTGTGTCCCAGCTGAGCTCTCCATCTCCACGACTGAGCAGATCCCCCTTCACTGGGTCTGCAGCTTCTTCTTGAGTCATTTGGCCAGTCACTGATCCAACTCTTGATCCTCCCCAGGTGGGTCTGAACTCCAAAACCCTGTCTGTGCTGACTGGGGGACCTTGCCCCACTGCCCACGCTATAAAGGGGCGCCTGGTCCCGGGCCCTTCAAGGAATAATGGTTTGGAATGGCCCAATATCTTCTTCCTCTGTGACACTTTGTACCCCAAAGCAACACCCTGGCTGGCATCCCCACATGTACCATAATGATATGTTTTGTACAGAGTATGCCTGGTTATGTATCATGCTAAAAGTCTTGACCTGTTATACATTAATATCCTGTTGGACTGTATGTGTTCTTGTTGCACAGGAAGTTACAAAGTTTTCCTAAGTCTGTTACGGAATAGGGACGTGAATGGTTAACTAGGTTACTGGTAGGTGCCAGAGCACCAAAGAGCAGCCCCATCCCTCATCTGTGGCAGGGGGGCCGCTCCAGCCCCCTACTCGGCCCCCCTTTAATCGGTTAGCAAGTTAAACATTGTTTAACCAGTTAACAAGTTAAATGGGGTTTTACATCCCTGTGATGGAAATTTGTGTGAGTATGGAAATGCTCACAACCAGCCTTTCACAGACACTAATGGAGAAACCAGTGTTGATGGCTCATTAAGGGGAATGCACCCAGTGAATTCACAATACAACTGTCACCTGGTGGGTCAGTCATACCACTGAGCTCACCTGTCTGCCCTCTGGGGCACCCCACCACCCTGTCCTGATGAGCCAGAACCTCTGGTCTGCCCCAGCAAAGGCACAGAGTTGGAGTCACAGCCCACAGCAGAGCAACACAAACACTGAGTGCGGCTCAGCTCTGGGAAGGCTCAGTCACAGGAACTTGACAGAGCACCCAGGTGCACAGCCTCAGTGGGACCCAAACCTCGAATAAATCCCTCTTACTTTGCATAAAAGTTTTATACAGAGCAACTCGTATGTTTTCTCCCTTTATCAATGAAAGAGAGCGACGCACAGCTGTTGTCCCCACCCTCTGGTAACAATTATTTACACTGGGTTTAATGATAAACAAAAGTGATTTTATTAAATATACAAAATAGGATTTCAGTGGTTGCAAGTAATAAGAGGCAGATCAAAGTAAGTTACTATGCAAAATAAAATAAAACGTGCCAGCTAAGCTTACTATTCTAAGAAGCATGTTCCGTGCAATTTCTAACCCTAACAGTAGTTTTAATAATCTTTTCTCACAAGCTAGAAAGCCTCCTGGTTTGGGCCCAATGCTTCAATACTTTCCCCTGTTCAGTCTTAGATGTTTCAAGCAGTCATCTTCATAGTAAGCAGGGAGTTTTTTGGTGTCTGGCATCTGCCTACTCCCTATTGTTTGGTCCCCCACTTGCACTTGTACATATATTTTGCTGAAGGTGGGAATCTTCTGTGATCAGTTTCAACCCTTTCAACTGCCATGGAAAAGTGACACATCCAAAATGGGTTCCAGGATCAGGTGACCTGGCCGCATGACTTGACAGGACCAAGCGTATTCCAGGTTTACAGGGAAAGCAAGACTATTCACAGATCACTGTCATGAATATCAGGCCATTAAGGCTATGTCTACACTGGGGAAGAGGATATGCAAATGGTGTGCTCATTTGCATATCTTCTTCCGATTCTTTTTGCGGAAGAGGTTTTGCTGTTAAAAAGCCCTGTGTAGATGGGTCCATTTGTCGGAAAAAGCACCTTTGGCGCAAGAGTCTGTAAACCTCATTTTTTGAGGAATAAAAGAGTTCTTGTGCAATTTTTCCGACAAATGGCGACAGCAAAACCTCTTCCGCAAAAAGAATCGGAAGAAGATATGCAAATGAGCACACCATTTGCATATCCTTTTCCGCAAAAAAAACGCAGTGTAGTCATAGCCTCTGTTCCTTCCTATTAATAGCCTTCCCTAGCACATCTAGATATATAAACAGGCTTATACTTCATATTTCTAACTTCAAGTTCAGGAATGATATATGCACACAAATAGAATATACTCATACAGGGTATCACAAGCTCTTCGATGATAGGTTACATGCCACATTTTGTATTCAAGTTAGGCATTTTCATATTCGAAAACATATTTCCATAAAAAATTGAGGGTGCAATGTCATACACACTACCACAGGAACTGTATGCAAGGGAGATTTCAGACAGAACATATAGAGACAGACCACAGACACTGCTTGACTCATGGCCTAGCAAAGGGTCTTTCCAGCAAGTTGGAAGAAACTATACAAAAGGGGAAGTGACATCATCATTTGGCCTCCCACCTCCCCACAACTCACCACCTGGAAACACGCCTGGAGAACAAAAACTGAACTATGGAGGTGGTCACAAACACAGATTGAGATTTTACTTTTGTTAGCCAGCTTTGCTCTGTCCCGTTACTACTTAAAAACACTTTAAACCTTTCTGCGGTTAATAAAAGTTTGATTTTTTTATTTGAAACAGTGTGTTTTGATCAAAGTGCTTGGGAAATCTGCTCAGTGTACCAAAGCTGGTGCATGCATGCCTTTTCCACATGGAGGGAGACTCTTGAATGGTACAGGCCTGGAGTTTTATGCTGGGGAACTGGGGGAATTAGCTAGAACCTCTCTATTGTTAGGTCATGAGTGGCTGGGAGAAGCAGTCCTTGTCAGAGCAACACCGTGTGAGAGCCCAGGCTAATATGCCAGTGCACTCAGCAGTATCCCAGTTACAAGCTGCATCCCAGGTAACCTGTCACACCCTCCCAAAAACTAATTTTTCCCTGTACAGGTTGCTCTGCTTGAACTTATGTGCTCTCAGAAGAGAACATCAAAGCACACAATGAACATTAATTCAGAAAGAGCTGCCACCCTCATGCACCCTTTTCTCTTGGGGAAGAGGGAGGAAACTGAGGCAATGACAAAGCCAGGAGACCTGCCTCTGACCTAGCGAATGAGACGCTGCTCCACTCCCAGAACAATCAACTCCCCTGTCTTCTTTTAGCCCACTAGACCTCTCTCCCCTCCCAGTGCCTAGCTTAGAATCTCTAGGTCTACCTGCTCTAAAACCCACTACAAAATCCCACTGGCTCCCTCCTGTATTTGAGGTGCAATTTTGCTCCTGGCTGATTTCTGTTTTGATCTAAAGATGGTACTTGTAGGATTTCTTGGGGTTGGTGGGTGGACCATCACTTCCTCCATGAGATGCAGTTGTCCAGCGTCACCAGCTGGGGCTGCGAGGGAGAGATGCCTGTATTCCATCTCCGGCTCCAGTGTCCAATTTCTCTTGTAATGTATTTTGAAAGCCCCGGAGTAGCTGCATCTGAACAGTCCTGGAATGGTACAGAGGAAATCAGGTTGTAATCATGTCAGATACAAATTATTAATGCTATTGTTCTCTGCAGGGGGGATGGGCACTCTCCCATTTCAAGGCTGAATCCTCCCTGCAGGCCTGGCTAGAAGCCATCAGAGACCTTGCACACTCAGACACCCTGTTCTGGGAATGTCCCCGTGTAATAGTGCGGGTGACCCTCTTTGCAAGTGACACTATCTACAGTGTTCCTGCCTGATGAGCTCCGCCAGCATGTGTGAACAATTCCTACTGCAACAGGGCAAGCAATTCCTGGAATAACTGAGCGACCCCTAGAGCAAACATGTGAGCAGTTCCCAGCGCAGCTGCACACTGGTGCCTCCCGTGCAAATGGGAGCTGCAGTCACGTCACCTGAGCAGCACCCTGGTGCACCAATGTGGGAAATTCCTCGTGCAAGCAACAGAGCGAGCAGCTCCTGCAGGTGCAAAAGGTGCGTGCCGATGCTCATGGAGGAGCAACCGTAGCGCAACAACTGAGCACTGCCCTGCCCGGCTCGGCTCGGCTCAGCTCAGCTCATCACTTCCCAGCCCGGCCGGGAGCGCCCTGCGCCTTTAAAACTGGGCCGAGTCTTGCTCTCAGCCTAGCCAATGGCCGCCGGGGGTGACATCATCCTACAGCAATGACGCAGGTTCTATTTTTAAGAGACCAATGGGTTGGCCGGGAAGGCGTCACGTGGCCCTGAGAGGTTACTTAATGTCAGCCTAATGAACGGTGCATCAAAGTGAGGCAGGGGAGGCTGCTAGCCGGGGAGGGGGGGGGCTTTGCGGGACCAGGGGCTGGCGCTGCCCGGGCCGGGATTCCATGCACGGAGCTGGGCGCTGCTGCTGCTGCTGCATCCAAGCCCCTGGCCTCGGCCCCGAGCCGTCAGCGGCTGCCTGGCCTCGCGCGGGCGGAGCCGGTGCATGAGGCTGCAGGCGCCCCCGGTGGGGCAGCCTCCGCGCAGAGGAGACGAGCCGCGCGCCGCGCCTTAGCTTCCCCGACGCGCTGTGGGGAGGGGGCCTCGGGTTGTTTTGCAAGCCCCGGCAGCACCGGGCTCTGGGGAGGGCGGCGGGGAAGGGAGGAGGCCTCGCTCTCTGCATTGCAAGGGCGGGCTTCGCCAAGGGGGCTGCTAGTTATTTCGTTTGCCTGGCTGTGCGAGCTCCCCACCGCGGCAGAGTATTGGGGCGGGGGCCGTGGTCAGATGAGCCCAGCCTCGCTCCAGAGCCCGGACCCTGCCACCTGAGGAAGGCAGCAAGGAGGGGAGCGCCCGCCCCGCCGGATTTCTCCTTTTCAGAGATTTGCTTTTAGTGCGACTGGCCGTGGGTTGGGGGTGCAACTTGGTGCAGAATGACCCATCCATTGCATCGGTGGCTATCAACCCCCACCTGCCTACTCCACGTCTACCGCAGGTGACCCCGTTGGAGGCGATTATATGGCTGGTGACCCTCCTTCTCCCAGGACACAAATTTCTTCCTTCATTTCCGACCCTCGGATCCTGTCCACGTGAGGGGGAGATAGGAATCGCCTTCCAATATTTTATAGGCGGGTTACATTTTCGGACGGGTGTGTGACATCCTAGAGCTGTTGAATTTTTGGCTTGACTATTGTGGCGTGCATCTCTCTCCAAAGAGACAGAAGTTGCCTAGGCAGAGAGGATTGAGCTACTTACAGAATCCTTAAGCCATAAGCTTTGCCAGTGAGTGGAAGAGAGCGTGTGTGTTATTTATTTGGTGCATGGGTCTGATTTTTTTTAAAGGGTAAAGTCTTCCATGTGGTTTGCAAAAAGAAACTGAGTAGTTGTGGGCACAGTGTTGTAAAAGCTGTTTAAGTTCCTTTTCCCTATAGCTGCAGCGGGTTGGGGAACTGAAGTCTGTGTCATTTAACAACTTCCTCATTTGTAAAGTTTTTGCTGCTTGGGTGGGGGTGGTAGGTCAGCTTGGTGTGTGCAATTTACTACATTGCTGCTAAATTCAGGGGTTGGTGTTGCATCCTTGCTTTAGCAAGGGGGTGGAGAAAGCTGAAAGCAAATGAACTTAGGGAAGTGTTTTTAGCTGGAAGAAATGGTTTACAAATATCTTTTAAAATCCAGTCTTAAATCAGAGAGAGCACAGTCAGGTTGAAGTTGAATGCACTAATATTTAGGGGTTTGCAAAAAAAGGGATAGGAGTTTTGCTGCTAGAATTGCCCCCTAAAAATTATCCTATAGTCACCAAAGTTTAGAGGGAGCCAGTTTCAAATCCTTGTTAGCTTCTGATTCATCAGGGTCACTCCTGAGGGGAGATGTGTCTGAACTGGATAGCCTGATTCATTCCCCCTTGGGAGACAGGTGGGGAAGAGAGACTTGGGATTCAGAGTGAAAACTCTTTGCTTTCCAAATAGACTAGAAACTTTTCTTAACCCAGGCGTGAGAAGCTACCTGGACTTCAGCCGAATTTATCCTCTGCATCAGGCTGCCCTTTGGATATATAGGCAATTCTCTTACCACTGTTGTAGCTGAGTAGGGGACAGGTATGTGTGCACGTGCATGGGGAGAATGCCTTCTGCAATGATTCAAGCCAAAGTGGGTGTCTCATTGGGTCTGAAGCTTTGAATGTACCTGTGGACTTAAAGTAAGGCCCCAGGCCTGGAATCCTCTTGGGAATTGGAAACTGGACGATCACCCCAGCTGGGGCGTGAAGAGAAGCTGTGTTGGATACGTGTTGCCCTCTTGCCATGGGGCACATGCTGAGGATGCAAATGGCCTATATTCCTGCCATGTTGGACACCTCTTCGGAGTGCTAACAGGCACTGTTTTACCCAGCATCCTCTTGGCTTAACTGGAGTAGCCTGGTCTATTGGAGGAGAAGCCAAGTAGCTCTGATAGCTGTCCCACCTGTGAACATGGAGACCAAGCTGCCCCCTGCTGGCACCCCTACCAGCCCCTCGTCCCCAGGGCTGTCACCTGTCCCCCCGCCTGATAAAGTGGACGGTTTCTCCAGGCGCTCCCTGCGCCGTTCTCGTCAGCGTCGCTCTCACAGTTCATCCCAGTTCCGCTATCAGAGCAACCAACAGGAGCTGACCCCCCTGCCTTTGCTAAAAGGTGAGTGTTGCACAGCTGTGGGGGCTGGGAATGAGACTCCTGGGTTCTGTCCCAGTTCTGGGAGGGGAGTGGGGTCTAGTTGTTGGAGCGGAGGATGGAAAGTCAGGACTCCTGGGTTCTCTTCAGCTCTGGACAAGTACTTCCCCCATACCTCAGTTTCCCCATCTTTAAGGGGATGGGGATTCCTACCCTATCTGAATGGTGACATGCCAATACTTGCATGGGGTTTTGCCCAAATCAGAGGTCAGGACACATTGTGTGAGACCCTCATTTCCTGTCTGACCTGCTTAGCCCCATCTCCCCACCCCCTTTCTCAGCCCTGCCCTCCACAACCAGACCGACCTTTGAGTGTCTTATTGTTACCCTGCTTTTCGTCTCTTGGTGACTCAGGACAGCATCTCAACTCCAGCAGGGGTCACCTGCTCTGGGGCTAACTGTTTGTGGACTTTGTTATTGTAAGGTCTCCTGGGAGTACTGGTGCTGTCTGTGCTGGGTTTATGGTACAGTCTTTTGGGAGCATCAAGACTGGCTTTGTTTTTGTAGGGTTGCCCATGAGTGCTGGGCTTTGTTGTTATACAGACCCTTGGGAATTCTGGGGCTGCTCTTTGCTGCTGTTGCTAGGGTCCTTTAGTGGAGCGAAGCTGGATTGTTGGAGGGTCATGTGAGAGATCTGGGCTTGGTTTGTTGTAGGATTGTGTGGGAGTTGAGCTTCTTATGGTAGGGTTACTTGGTAATGTAGGACCTGCCTGTGACAGTTTTCCCTCCACTTGCCCAGGCTGGTCCAAGAGCTCATGGTGCTGTGCTGTGTTCCCTGCCCCCTCCCGCAAAGAGGGAAGTGGATGGAACCCCTTAGTCACCGCCCTCGCTTGCCTTGGCCCATCTGGGCCCAGTGACTCAGCCACAGCGCACCACACCACAAGCCCTGGGGAAATGAGGGCTGGCTTGGAACCAGCCCCGGCTGCTCAGGGTATGGGGAATGGAATGTGGCCACGGGTTCCCATCCAGGTGGAGTCACTGGGACGTAACCAACATTTCATGGCCCCCAGCATGAGATGAATTTGCTCCAAGCAGTATGTGTGGCTGAATCCTACAGCGAGGCCTTGGGACCCTGAGCTGGGCTGGCCCTCTCTGTCTCCAGGCTACAATGGCAGAGGGGTGATGCTGATACCCTGCTAAGGCCTCCCTAAAAGCACAGGCAGCTCCCTGTGCCCTTAGTTGAAAGCTTCCCCTTTCTTCCTTCTTTAGGAGTCTCCAGCCCCTGGCCTGTAGAGGGTCGGGACTTGGGAGGAGCCCTGGAATGGGAGCTGGGGATGGAGGGATGATCTTTTGGGGCTTCTCATCATTATTCAAACCCCTAATTTGGGGCAGGCCCCCATGGGCAGGGAGGTATCCCTGTAGGGGTAACTTCTCCCTCGTCACCCAGTGCTTCATCAAGTGTACGAACTGCCATGCTGCATCAGGCCTGTAGGCCCATCTAGCCTGGCCTAGTATCTAGTCTTCATTCCCTCCCTGAGCTGGGGATAGAACCCAGGAGTCCTGAATCTAGGGTTGTGAATGGTTAACCAGTTCGCTGGTAAACATCACCCGTACCAGGTATGGTTAACCAGGAGGGGCTGGAGCAGCCCCCACCCACAGCGGGCCTAGCCCACTCAGAGCAGTGTGCTGCAGGCAGGGGGGCTCTAGCCAGGTTGGAGGGGGCTCTGGCCAGGCTGGAGCAGCCCCCATGCCCTTTTAAGCAGTTAATTGATTAAACTTTTTAATGTTTAACCAGTTAACTGATTACATGGAATTTTACATCCCTTCCTGAAGACCAGCCTCCCTCCCCCGCACCCCCCCAAACCACTAGACCATGCTCCCCTCCCAGAGCTGGGAGCAGAAACCTGATTCCCAGTCTACCACCCCACCCCACCCTACTAGGACCCTTCCCCCAGTATAATGCTGGATATTTGCTTGGTTTCTCTAAGTGCCTTTTGGAGCCAGCAGCCAAATTGATGCTGAGTGTCTCCCTGGGAACCTTGCCAGATACCCACTGGCTCTCAGTGGCTGGGAGGTGGGGTTGTGTGTGGGAGCTCAGGCTGTAATAGAAAGCAGGGTGGGGGGATGGGATCAGGCACAAGTCAGCATGAAGAACATTTTGTATCGTGTCAGACGCCAGTCTGGTACAACTGCCCTGGCCTTGTGTACCTGGGTTTGACTTGCCATGGTGCTCACGGGGCCCTTCTGAAGGCACCTGGGGCCAGTGGGGGGATCCCCCGCACTCTGGCAAAGAACAAGAGTCTGTCCTACATGGCTGAGGGCTCTGCTGAAGATTGGCTTAGCAAGCTCCACATCTGCTAAGAAGCCTCTGGCTAGGGTAGCTGGGATACTGGAAGTCTGGAGGGAGGGGCCCCAGCAAAGCTCTGTGCACGTATGAGCTGAGCTCTGCAATAGCAAAAAGCCCATTAAGCTCTAGTGGTTAAAAACGCAGGGTGGGATTTAGCTTCCCACATGTCTGCCACCAGATCCTGTCCTCACCCCCATGCTGCCATCGCAGCTCTGTCAGCTTCTCTCTGCTCAGCGATGCCTGGAGGCTGGTGCTGCTAGCTGAATGGGGCAGTCTCTAGGGGATTAGGCAAGAGGGAGAGGGACTGAATGGCTTTCCCCTTTAGGGGGGGCCTTGTCTGCAGTCCTGTCCCAGAGTGTAGAGAATGACTGCCTTAAAGCTGGGGAATGGGACATGGGACCTTCCCCTCCAGGGGCCACCAGCTCTCCTGCAGATTGCAATAGCAGCCTGTCAGCTGGGTAGCGTCTGCCTGGAGTGAGTTTGTCAAGCCTCAGTCTAGTTCTAAGCTGCCCCTGTCTGTCCATCTGCTTTTCAGTGCCTGAGGCCTTAATGGTGAATTCAGCCTCCCTTCCCTGAGAGGCCCCCCAGCTTCAGTGTTCAGCATCGCCCAGTGTCTGACGTAAATATCTTGCCTGTGTGTTAGGGATGTGACTAGTTGAGTAGTCGGCTACCTGATAAGCCTAGGCTTATTGGGTAGTTGAGTCACTACTCAACAAGATGCTTCCCCCGCGCCTCCCCGACTGTGTATCAGGTGCTGGGGGGAGCCAGCTTAAAAGCCGGTTCCCCCCAGCACTGTTTCTGTGGGGGGAGGAGAGGGAGGCAGAAGCGCAGCGAGGGACCTGGTGCAATCAGGGACTGAGCAGTCCTAGCTCATGCCAGGTTGCAGACTGCTGCACCTCTGCCTTTTAAATGAAGTGAAAGCCTGGCAGCTGTACTATATTTAAAAGGCAGAGCCACAGTGAACTGACTAATCGAGTAGTTGGACATTCCACTGACTACTCGATTAACTTACTAACTGCTATAGAACATCCCGACTGTCTATCCCTGCCCCCCAAGGTCAGCTCTGCACCTAGTATCTTCCAGGGGTGGGGGCAGAGCTTAAGAGGAAGGCGGCACTGGGGGGTAGAATTTGGAGGTTGGGGGTAATAGGGGAGATGTGCTGCATCTGTGTCCAGCCTGGAGGTGTAGGTGAATTTCTATAGGCCTGTCTTATTGGCTCCCTTGTTCCTCTCCATGCCCAGTATGGAACATGAGGCCCCAGAGCTGACAGGTGGGAAGGGAGGTGAGTGCTGGGGATTAGAGGGGCGGGGTGCTGCCCGGCTTGTGTTTTGGGAAACGGGCTTTTGCTGGGCTAGACGGTGGGGAGCCAGGTTCTCTCTTGGCTTCAGGGGACCTTGTCTTAGCTGTGTCGCTGGCTGGGGCTGCCTCCTGAGCTGTCTCCATCAGGAGGCAGGAAATTGCCTGCCTTGGGAGATAGCCCTGGGAGGAATATGGGCATGGCTCCTCCTCCTCCCCCACATCTGGCCTTACTCTCCCTCCCTTCCCCCGCTTCCCAGGACTCCAGATGCTGCTTGTCTCAGATCTCTGCTGCCGTGGAGACAGTCCTGTGGGGCTTGCTACCTGCGGGCCTCCCTGAGGAGAGCATGGGAGTGGGCTTGCAGAGCCAGTCCTGACCCACTGGCACCCCAGCTCAGGGCTGCTGTGTCTCACTCCCAACCCCAGCCCCCTCCCCCATTGTCAAACCCCATGATGGCCTTTCCTGCTGGCCGGTGCCTATATTCACTCCCAGATCCATGGACGCAAAAAAAGTCAGCCTTTCTCTGTCCCACCTGCCTAACCAGGACCTCTCCCCCTCACCCCTGGGTCTCCTCACTGTTATCCAAGCCTTGTGTGCTCTAGCCATGTTTCCACGGCTGGGTTGCTGGAATATTGAGGGTGTAGCTGGCAGAGGCTGTGGCAGCCCCAGCCTGGTGGGTTGGCATAGGGATGTGGGCTGCTTGTTTTTGCCAGTTGAAGCTGGCGCCAGTGCCATGTGCCCCAGGGAGTTGTGGGGACGGAGTAGTGAGCATATTGAGTTCAGAGTGAAATTTAGGCATGGGGCTTGAGAGGCTCTGATGTGCAGAGGGCAAGGGGTGTGGATTCTGAAAGCATCCCTTCAGAGTTTGCTGGGGCTCTGCTAGTTTCCCCATCCCATGTCTGCCCCACTGTTTTTAGGGGACCCTATGCTGAGCCAGTGGCTGTGGGGTGTAATCTTTGTGTTGAGGGAGTGTACTGAAGGGGAGTTTCCTTGCTGGCCCCAAATGGAGATCCATGGGGTGCTATAAGAAAACCAGAGAAAGCCCTGGCAGTGTTATTGTGGAGCCCCTGTCTCTCTTGGTTCTCCCTGCTGCACACCAGGTCTGAGTGTCTGTAGGGAGGTTGGGCAGGTTGAGTGTGGTCTAGTGGCTAGAGCTTTAGGACTCCGGGGTTCTATTTCTGGCTCTGCCACTGACGATAAACAAGTATCTTCCCGTCTGTCTGTTTCCCCCTCCCAACCTGAATCTCTTTGTCTGAGGCAGGGAGTGTCTCTTGAAAGTGTCTGCTCAGTGCAATCATGACATGACTCCTGATGTTGAAGAGGTTGGTGCTCTGTGCGGTACTCCCATCATACCCATAATTATTCTGGTTCTTGCTCCAGTGAGTTATCTGATTCCCCAATGTGGATGCCACACAGAATGCTGGACTGGCTCTTGAGAAGCCTGGGTTGTGTTCCTGGCTTTGCCACTGGCCTTCTGGATTACCTTGGGCAAGTCCCTTCCCTGTTGTGCCTCAGTTTCCCCATCTGTAAAATGGCAGGGAGAAATGAGGCTGAAGTCCTTTGTACAGTGCTTTGAGATCTGTGGGTGAAAACTGCTAGGTAAGAGCGGGGGATTATTACCCTCCCTCTCTTATGGGGAATTGGAACTGATTTGCTTCTCAAGGAATTTGAGCATCCAACAAGGAATCCCTGGTTTCATCTGTGGGTTCCTACAGGTATTAGGGATGTGAACATGTAGCCAGTTAACCAGAAGCTGGTGGCAGCCCCAGGGACTGGGAGCCAGCAGCCAGCCCCAGTACGGGAGCTGGGAGCCCCCCATGGGCTGATTAACTAGGATTTTACATCCCTAACAGATATAAATCCCAGCTTATGTAGATATATGTGTGCTAGCTCTGCTTGAGCAAGAGCCTAAAAATAGCTGTGTCGGTAGTGGCTTGGGACAGCCAGCCAAGTCCGTGCTCGGAGTCAGGGGTATTGTAGTCACTTGGCTAGTTCAAGCTTCCACTGTGGTTACACTGCTAACTTTGCTAGCACCAGCAGAGCTAGCGCATGTCTGTCTACCTGAATTGCGGCACAGCCTCTCAGCTGCCGTGTGGATCTGCCCTGTGTTCTCAGCTCCTCTACGAGTCACTAAAGATGCCTAGAAATGGGTTCTGTGTCCTATACTGAGGTGACGTACAGGCAGTCCCCGAGTTACGCGGATCCGACTGATGTCGGATCCGCAGTTACGAACGGGGCCCTTCCTCTCTCTGGTCTCCAGCAGACCAGGGAGAGGAAGCAAAGCGGCGGAACACGCGGGCAGCGGACAGGGCTGTCCGCTGCCCACGCGCTCCGCGGCTTGGCTCTGCTTTGCTCTGCTTTGCCCCCCCCCATCCCCGTGGTCTGCAGACCAGGGAGACGGGGGGGGGGGGTGGCAAGCAGAGCTCACC